CCCTGATGGAGGAAGGTCATTGGCTAATAAAGAAACTGGCTTGGCCCATTTTATTGGTTAGAACATAGGTGGGTGGAGTAAACAGAAGAGAATGCTGGGAGGAAGAGGAAGTGAGGTCAGAAGTAATGCAGCTCCTCTCAGAGCCAGACGCCTCAGATAGAGAGGCATGCTCCGCTCTCCCGGGCACGCAAAGAAGCTCCTCCGACCCAGGATGGACATAGGCTAGAATCTTCCCGGTAAGCGCACCATGGGGTGCTGCAAACAATGATTAGAAATAGGCTAAATTAATATGTGAGAATTAGCCTAGAAGAAGCTAGATAGAAATGGGTCAAGCAGTCTTTAAATGAATACAGTTTGTGTATTGTTATTTCGGGCATAAGCTAGCCAGGTGGCCAGGGTGCTGGGGACGCAGCCCCGCCGCTCATATTTCAACCCCCCCCCCCAAAAAAAATCCCAGGGCTGGATGATTTTAGTGTAGAATTCTACCAGAACTGCAAAGATGAGCTAATACTCCTCAAAGTGTTCCACATAATAGAAACAGAAGGAACATTGCCAAATTCTTTTTATGAGGCTACAGTTACCCTGATACTGAAGCCGCACAGACTCAACCAAAAAAGAGAATTACAGACCAGTCTCACTCAAGAACATAGATGCAAAAATACTCAATAAAATACAGGCAAACTGAATCCAAGAACACATCAAAAAAATCATCCACCATGATCAAGTCAGCTTCATTTCAGAGATGCAGGAATTGTTCAACATATGAAAATCTATCAATGCAATCAATCATATAAATAAACTAAAAGAAAAAACATGTGATTATCTCATTAGATGCTGAAAAAGCATCCCTAGTACTGGGATTAAAAATGGGAGCCACCACCACCTGGATCTGTTTCTGCATTGATCTTATATAGCCCGGGGTGGCCTTGAATTAATAGAGATCCATCTGCCTCACTCTCCTAACTCCTGAAATTAAAGGTGTGTGACGCCATTGCCTGGCCTCTCCTGGCTTAGTTTCACTTTCTGGCTTTCAGGCAAGCTTTATTTATAATACATGGATAAAATATCACTATGGTTTTCCTTTTGTCTAAAATTTTTAAAAAGGCTATAACTAGGCGGCTGGAGAGATGGCTCAGAGGTAAAGAACACTGGCTACTCTTCCAGAGGTCCTGAGTTCAATTCCCAGCATTACATTGTTAAGTGAGTTATATAGGACAATACCTTCAACAAGAATAGAAATATATGCATGGTATGTTCTATCAAAGTTAATCTCAATATACAAAATTGTATATAATATACAAAAGTCCAACCCGTTGTAAAGTATTTAAAACTAGTAGCTGCTTTTTAAAAGTGGATTCAATAATCTGCCTTTTTATCTTAATATATATATGTNATCTGCCTTTTTATCTTATCATATCTATATCCTCCCATTTTTCTTTTCTGTTCCCTTTTTGGCAGGTGTTGGGGCCTTTGCACTGGATTTTAAGGTACTTCTAATATGGTGTCAGTCATATTGTCTGGGGACCTATCACAATATAAAAATTTAGAGGAAAATCTGAACAATAAGATCTGTTTTATATTTAGAAGACCTTTAAGAAGATTAATGTAATCAACCTACTTTACTTTGGACTCTCATTGTCATTGTAATAAACTCAGATGGGCACACTGTACATCTTGTACCATGTTCCCCAGTTCTCCTTTATGTGACATTCATGCCCCTCACTCAGAATGGTGTCAGTGTATAAAAGATGTGGTAATAAAACCTGTGAACACCCACTTAAAGCAACATCATTAAAAATAAGAGTGTGTCCCCACAAGAAATCTTGAGGACAACACACACATATCGGTTCTTTTATTTTTTTTAAGTGTAAATCCCATTTATTTTTCCAAGGTGTTTTCTTCTATCTTTATGAAGCCACTTTACATGGGCTTTGGTTTAGGTTGTGGTGCAGCACCAGAAGGTCTAAATCATGGTGGGGGTGTTCAGTCCTTCCGAGCTTCCCGAGATCGGTTCCTGACTACCTTGCTGTGAGTAGCACAGCTCACAGTAATGGAGCTTGACATAGAGTGTGGGGAGCACATAGGCGTCGAAGACACTTGCTTTGGATATGTCCCTGATGGCAGCCGCCTCTACAATGTTCCAAATGATGAACTTCTTAATGGCCTTGTCCTTGGGCATGCAGCGGGCACAGTTAGTGCAGCAAATTGGCTGCACATGGCTGCGGCCCTTTTTGGCACGACCGTTGTTTCTCCTTTTTTTGGTCATCTTGGAGTCGGGTCCCGAAAGAGGCCGCACATCGGTTCTTAACGTCTGACTGTGACTTTGTGTGCTCTTCTGAGTCAGTGAGTTTAGAATGGCCTTTTGAAGATCCAGTTACTATGCTGTGGTGGTTTGAACAATGGCCCCCAGAGGCTCATGTATTTGAATGCTAAACCACCAGGGACTGAAACTCTTTGATAGGATTATCATTAGATTTGTTGGCCTCCTTGGAGGAAGTATGTGACTGTAGGTGAGTTTAAGGTTTTAAAAGAAGTGGAGAGGTCCACATCTCTCTCTTGCCCTGCTACCTGCTCCTCAGAATACAGTCCTCAGCTACTGCTTCACTGCCATGCCTGCCTCTATGCCCCCCCATGACAATCTTAATGAGCTAAATCTGTGAAACTATAAGGAAACCCCCAGTGATATGCTTTCTCTTGCCTTGGTCATGGTGTCTCTTCACCGCAAAAGAACAGTGGCTAAGACACCTGCCAGTTAGGTGACAGTAGCCTAATGGGCTAAGACACCTCCACAGCATAAGATAAGCTTTGGATCAGAGTCCAAAAAATAGAACAGTTTTCCCATTGCAAGGCTTCATGAGTCTAGGAATCAAGGGGATAGAAATGGAAATGGATGGCTCACTATCACCCCTAGTGGCTGGGACAGTTTTTGCTGCCTGTGAATGACTTCTGTTCTGCTGGCCTAAAAGTTTTGGTTCCAATTTAGAGATGGGTGCATCTGCCTGGAGACATAATAAAATTTCCATATAACTAGAAGCTCGGGCCACTTTGAAATTCTGATGCTTTTGTCTCAACAGCCTAAGACTGTAATAACAGTTTTAAGAGGAGATGTGATTTATCAAGACTCCTAGGGGAAATTTGGATTGTATCTCCAAAATGGTGATAAGGCAGTCTGGCTTGCATGAGATCCTACAGTGTTTCTCTTGGCGTTAGCATGTTCTGTGATTCATGTTAATAGTAAATTATAACAACCAATCCAGGCAGGATGAGAAAGGACCCAGATCCTTCAGGGATGAGGTATGGGTCACTCCTCCAGGAAAAGTACCAAAGCCTATTCTGGTATTGCTGAGGTTGGGGGAAATACAGAATGGACTGCAGAGAAAGGTAATTATAAATACAATCTAACGTCACTGTTGCCGAAACAAGGATTACAAGTGACATGAGTGTTTCTGTCATATTTTGTTAAGAACATATTTATGAATATACACACATATAGTAAGTATTTATGTTTTCATCCCTCTTCTTCCTTATCGTGTAATTTTAAATCCTTTGAGATAATATCAGGATATTGCATTTAAGTTATAAGATATCAAGATTTTGTTCCCCATGAGCTATTGGTACCTATCCTAAAGTATATACTACATTTACAGTGTACATGAAATGTTATACCACTAGGTGGAGCTATGACTTGGTTACTGTTCTCATTGGAAACTAGGATGACAGGAGATGTGAGCATGTGTCACTCTGGGAAGGTGTAGACTGTGACGCTAGACTCACTTGTCAGCTTCCCAGCATATGTCACTATCAGCCACACCCAAGCAGTTGCTTCCATCAGAAGGATTTTCTTGGTTGGATCATTTGAAGTCAAAAGACCCACCCTAAACCTAGATAATGTGAGGCCAGAAGACCTATCCTAAATCTGGGTCATGCCTTCTAATGGAAGCCTACGTAAAAGGACACGGAGAAGGAAGCCCGTGCTTTTGCATGCTTTCCCTTACTCTCGCTGGCGAAGCTCATTTATCCTGCTGCTGAAGCATTGCTTTGTTAGTATTAGAACTTATTTCTTTGGAATTGCGGGGCACACTCAAGACCATCTGAGACATTTGTCCCTGACGACTGAAGAACTGCTGATTTCTTGGCCTTTCTATTGAGAATCGGCCATCTTTGCACTACTAGACCACACCCTGTAAGCCACTCGAATACACCTTGTGGGTGTATATATATGTACATGTGTGTATGTGTATATGTGTACATGTGCGTGTGTGTACATATATGTACATGTGTGTCTGTATATGTACATGTGTGTATGTATGTACATGTGTGTATATATGTGTATAGAAATGTAAAGGTGTATATGTGTATATATGTGTATGTGTGTGTTTACATGTGTGTATATGTGCATGTGTGTGCATGTATGTACATATGTGTATGTATATGTAAATGTAAATATACATATAATTCATCTTAAAGGAGAACCTACTACTGATGCTCTTCTAGGTCAGCATAATTTCTGTTTTCTAAAGCTTCTCCTTATGTCCACAGTAAGTGTAGCTCTCACCTGTCATCAAAGGATCTTATATTTGCAACACACCGTGACCATTACTGAAAACCACAACTGGTCAAAGTGAAGAGTTCAACTGATAGTGGGGTTCATGGCCCAAACAGATGAACCTGCAACACAACTGCTTGACCTGGGTGGAACTTTGTCAAATTAAGGTTATCAATTTCAATAGTTCAGCTAAAGGCTGTATCATTTCTAAAAGTTTCTCATTCTTGACTCTGTTATAAACGATTTTTTAAGGATATAATATAAAAAGTAAGCTAATAGTCACCATGATCACAAAAATATATATACAAGGTAGCTCATTATAGCTTTTGCAGAATCCCATCCATAGTAGAAACAAAAAGGTTGTTAAATTCCTGCATGGTGATATTGTCTGCAATTATCTTGGGGCTGGTTGACAATTTTCAAATTTATTTATTTATTAATCAAATTAACTTACCTCTGTGATAATTTTCAGGATATTATTATAGGTGCAATATGCTTGATTGGCCAGCAGGTGTCGCAGTTGCGCAGTAAGGCAGGTCCAAGATCAGTGCCTGAAATATCTGAGACTTAGAATTACTAACAAATTTAGTTAATTACATAAGAGCAGCACATCTGCATATGGAGGCTTGAGTTGGTCGGAATATCAAGGAACCCAGAGCTCAGGCCAGGTATTCATGAGTACGAACTGGGAAGGCAAGCCTGCAGGTGCAGGGTTAGAGCTCCTGTTCCTGGAGTCTGAGCTCAGCCTGACCAGAGCAGGCCTGGCAGAAGCCAGAGAAGCCATGGAGGAGTTGCAACAGAAAGAGCGGGCAGCAGTAAGTCAACGACTTTGTAGGTGGGACCAGGCCACGTGGGCATGGGCAGTGGGAAACTGCCAAATCACCGCAGCAGGCCCGTCCAGCTGAACCTTGCTCAGCTGCCCAGAGGGGTGGAAGAAGGTTGTGGGGGCCTGGGCAGGGCCCAGCAGTAGCATGAATACAGATCATGTTGGTGCCAATTTGTTAACATACAAAAGAGTTCCACAATAGCCCGGAATGGAGTGTAACAAAGGTTTATTTTTCTGAAAATAAGCTCACAGAAAGAATAGGAATCCACAGTCCTCTGTATGCGATGTGGGAGTCCCCTGTGTGTTGTGATTACCATTAATGAATAAAGAATCTGTCTTGGCCTGTTGATAGGGCAGAACTTAGGTAGGCAGGGAGGACAGTACTGAATGCTGAGAGAAAGGAGGGTAGAGTCGAAGGGACACCGTGGAGCCGCTGCCTGAGATGGATGTGCTGAAACTTTGCTGGTAGGCCATGACTTCGTGGTGATATACAGATTAATGGAAATGGTTTAAATTAAGATGTAAGAGTTAGCCAATAGGGGGCTGGAGAGATGGCTCAGCAGTTAAGAGCATTGCCTGCTCTTCCAAAGGTCCTGAGTTCAATTCCCAGCAACCACATGGCGGCTCACAACCATCTGTAATGAGGTCTGGTGCCCTCTTCTGGCCTGCAGACGTACACACAGACAGAATATTGTATACATAATAAATAAATAAATATTTTAAAAAAAGAGTTAGCCAATAAGAAGCTAGAGCTAATGGGCCAAGCAGCGTTTTAATTAATATTGTTTCTGTGTGATTATTTCAGTTCTGGGCAGCCAGGACAAACAAGCAGCTCACCCCAACATGTATGCACCAGGAACTGGAACCAAATCCAAGAGGCCCGCACATTTATAGTACGTGACACCATGCCCAAAGTAGGCCGGTATCTTAAAGACTGTTGGTTGAAAGAGTTCCCACAGCAAGTATCATTTAACTTTTCCCTGCTCTTGGAATCCCTGGAAAACTCCCTCCTCCATATGGGGAACCCTGGGTAACACCCATCCATCTTAGGACCTTCCTCTACCAGGATCACATTTTTTTCTAAACATAATCTTCTGTCTTGCCAGTATCTTGTCGGCTCCAAGCTGTCAGCTGGACAGTTCCTCAAAGACTGAAAAACACTGAAGTAACCAGCTACCCCAGGACGTGACCAGCATCCCAACTTTCTCAAATTCTCCAAGATTTCAGTGGCCACAAATCAGCAGGAAGCAGTCTTGAGGGACCCAACTCCTCCATTCATGCCCATCTGCTACCCTTAGCCCCCCAGTTTTTATAATAAACAAAAGTGTGAAATGTTACTTCCATCACCCAAAGTTGCCAGTGCTCTGGCACAATGCCTAGCCACCCCAAGCTCTGGCACTTCCAGTTCCACAGCTGCACATGAGCCATCAAGCGTTCAGGCAACTTACATAGCCACCCAGGGCCCTCAAGCCCTATGTGATTTATGTACAGTGTGGTCATGTGATCTACATGTGACGTGTCTATGTGAGCCCCTGAGCACATGTGCTAGACAGCCTTTCAAAGCTGGACATGCCCACTCCATGCTCTCTTCCCAGACTGAACACCTTCTTCTCTCCTCCTCTTAATAAACTCTTGAAGTGGGTTCCATTGTGATCTGTTCTTATGCACAGTACCCAACATCCCCCCAACCAATGGGTACTGTTTTCTGTGAAAGATGGTACTTCCTTCCTCCTTTCTGTTGGTTTCTTAGTTCCTTACTCCCAAAAGCCTTGACCTGACTTTGTGCTCCTTCCTAGGACTGAGCTGAGGAAGGAGTAGGGCCCCTCTAGTATCTTGTCCCTGTGGGACAGTTTAGTTGATCTACCTGTCATATTATCAAGAAGGTGGAGGGAGAGGTGCCCTCCCTAAGTGCTGAGAGCTGAGTGGGCCTGGAAAGCATGTAATGTCTGCTTTGGCTGGCTGAGCAGTTTTGCAATTTTAGTTTAGCCGTGAACTCAAAAAGATTTAAGGTCAGCCATGCCAAGGTGGCACACGCCTTTAATGCCAGCACTCAGAGGCTAAGGCAGGTGAATCTGAGTTCTAGGCCAGCCTAGTCTACAGAATGAGTTCCAGGGCAGCTAAAGCTATACAGTAAAACCCTGTCTCAAAAACAAGAGGAGGGAAGGAGGAATGGGGGAAGGAGAGTGGGAGAGGGAGGGAGAGAGAGAGGGAGAGAGAGAGAGAGAGAGAGAGAGAGAGGGGGGGAGGGGGGGAGGGAGAGAGAGAGAGAGAGAGAGAGAGAGAGAGAGAGAGAGAGAAGAAAGGAATGGCTGAAGGTGTCAGTCTTAGGTTCAAAAAAAAAAAAAAAAAAAAAACCCAACCTGAGGCAGTGTCTGGGAATGCAAGCGCTGGCTGCAGGAATTATTCTGACTCCTTTTGGTAGCAGCCCTGATCATCTGAGATGGCCACCCCTTGCCTCTCAGCATCCTCAGTTTGGTCAGTATTAACCAGCATCCATGCTGACGCAGAAGACTGTGAAGACAAAGCTGTAGTGTGTGCTCATTTGCACAATTAGGGGAAATGACCTGGGGATGAAGGAAGATTTCTGTTGCAGTCTTGTAGAAGAAACCACCTGCTGGGAAATTCGCAGGCACCATGCCTGTCCCTCTCTGTCCCTGACCCCAGCAGGGAGGCTCAGCATTAGTACCAGCCTCCTCTCCCTGACAACCATAACCCACCAGGCTCTGCCCACCAGACACCAGGTGACAGACAAACCCATGCACAGAAACTTGCTGTGTTTCAGCAAGTGAGCTTTCCTCTCAAGGGAGCCTCCTCGCTTCCATTCACTTGGGGTGGAGTTTGTTCTGGGCAGAGGGGACGTGGGAAATGCTCACTGCTGAATCAGGCTCCGGGAGGAAGTGAGGACCTGGTCCCTGCTTCTGCAGCTCCATCCGTGCTGCCTTCCTCAACAGAGCTAGTTCAGCAGGCGTGGTGGGGTCAGAACTGAGACCTTGTGCTCTGAGGTGGGTCCTGCTGTGAGGTCTTCAGGGGCCACTGCTAGGACACTACCAACCAGGGCCTCTGTGGAGGAGATGCCTGGGGATGAGGTACCAGTCTGAGAGCAGCTCCTTGGGCCCGTCTTTTCATTTCAGCAGGATGAAGCGTCTCACTGAACTCAGTTCCTGCTCCCTGTCCTGGAAGTCAGCAGTCAGAGCTGGTTTTCATTCCTGGGTGAAGTTTACCGAGGTGAGACTGGTTGGGAGGGGGCATGACACATGACCTCTATTGGTCTCCTGAGCACTCACTGTCCTGCTTGGCCGGATGGACCAGAGACTCCTGCAAGACTTCTGAATATGCATTACCTACAGCAGGAGGCCGAGCAGAGATCACAACCCACCTGTGCTTGAGGCCGATCCTGTCTGCCGAGTCTGCCTGACACTTCCTAAGTACATTGTGAACAATGTGAGGTACAGTGGCATCACCAAGAGAGCAGTAACACCACCTAGGGCTAGACCTGTCTTCCCCCTGTATCTAGTCTCAAGATTGGCCTTGAGTGTGGCCTAGTATGGAGACTCTCAGTGTCTCCTCCCGGGATCTGAACCTGCAGCCACAGCTGAGATCTTTGCTCCAAAGCTCCCTCGGGACAGCACAGCACCTGTGCAGTCTAATCAAAGGGCGGAGACGGCGGTGTCACTGTGGTCACACTCTCTGTCAGGACAGAATTCTTAGGGATCAGAGCCAATGCTCCCCGTGTGCAGCCCTCCTCTGCCTTCTGTGTACTAACAGTCACCTCAAGATGGAACTTCCTAGCCAGGGGTAGCTGCATCCAGAAACACTGGCCCTTGCTTGGAGGCGGTGTGCTCCGAGGGACATTTTCAGTGGCTCTAGCTACACTAGGTTGCACTACTGGGGAAACGAGCTGTGGGGTCTGGTGGTAGAAGCTAACGACTCTGTGGCAAACACTTCTACAGGGCTGAAGCTGACACGCCCTGCTACGTAATGACACTGCCCTGCCTTGTTGTCTGCTTCCCCCCAGGTGAGGGGCAGCTCACAGCAGCACTGTGGAAGAAAGACAACCCAGGGCTGGTGTGCCCCCAGTGGCCCTCCAGAGTTACTAGGAGAAGCCAGAGAGGATGAGGAAATGATCTCCCATGCATGGTCTCAGGCTGCTCTGACCACAGCCTCAACCCATGAGTTCCTTTATTCCTTTTCATCCTCTCTAAGTCATTGGCAGAGTCTTTGGGTCATGTTCCTGTTGTCTTTCCCACCCAGGCACTAGGGACATGTGGCGAGCCTACACTGACATGAGGGAGGCCAACTGGATAGGTGCAGACAAATACTTCCATGCTAGAGGGAACTATGATGCTGCCCGACGGGGTCTGCTGAAGTTCTCAGGTAAACACAGACTGCTGGGACGCTGGGTCTGCGGAGAAGGGATTGATTCTGAGGAAGCAATAGAAGGTGAGCTCTGGAGAGTGTCATGCTAATCTGTGAACCCTCCTCCTCTTGCTCATCCAGCTACTGTCTCCATCTGTGCCCAGTGTAGACCCTGGTTGTGGACAGTGAGCATACAGCCAGGCTATATGGGCTTCTCCCGAATGTAGACAGGAAATGACTCTCATCATCACCAGTGTTTCTGGTTATGTTCATCCAGTGTGGGCTGACCAGTGCCTCAGCCCCTCCTTCCTGACCCTTCCTCATTTCCTCCTACAGTTCCAGTGGGGGAACTGGGAGGTTGTACTGCGACTAAGAAGCTTGGTGGTGGATTTCTTCCATGTCTGTTTCTCCTCGTGATGCAAGAGAGGGCATTCAGAGTTTCACAGGCCACGGACATGAGGATTCCAGGACTGACCGGGAAGCCAATGGATGGGGTGGCAGTGGCAAAGATCCCAATCACTACAGACCCAAAGGCCTGCCAGAAAAATACTGAGCATCCTCCCTTCAGCCTCAGGAGGCTGTGCTGCAGACTCTGGGGAGAGGATGTGGGGTTCTTCCTTCCCATGATCACTGAAGTTGCTGGGGAACACACAGTAGGTACCTCACATACATACAGACCACGAGTTTCAAAACTGTTATTCTTGCAGTGGTAACTACTTGCCTGAGAAGAGGGTAATAAACACTAACAAGGAAGTGGAGCTGAGCCTGAGCGTCTGTCATGAAGGTCATTTCTAGGATTACACAGGGAAGACCCCACTGGCCCAGAATCTACCATGATCCCTTCTCTGGGCCCTTGTGCTCTGGGTATAGGTTGTCATTTTCAGACCTCTCCATGACATGCCATTACTCCCTGTCAACCATGTCCAGTCACCTGTTCTGATCTCCCCAGCCTTAGTTCTCAATGTCCTTGTCTCTGGAGACCAGGAACAAAACCATAGGGACTGGTCCCTGCTAACCCTGCAGCTATCACCTTTGTAGCGGCGTAAATGAATGCAGACAGATTGCAATAATATATGCAGCTTTAATGGGGAAATAGACTTACAGAGCCACAGGTTCCCGCAGAGAACAGGAAAGCAGAAGGGGCGGTTGGGAGCGCGCCCGCAATCTTTATAAGTAAACAATATCCTCGGGGGACCCCGCCCCCTTCTAGCAAGGTGATTGGCTGGGTCTCTCCTACACACCTTGATCTTGCTCATTACTCAACACATACAAATCCAGTATCACACTACTTCTCCATCCTAAGAAATATTGCAAAGTAGTTCCCTCTTGCCTTAGGGTCACTATTTCTGTGATAAAGTGCTATGACCAAAACAGCATAGAGAAGAAAGGGTTTGTTTGTCTTACACTTCCACATTATAGCCCATCACTGAAGGAAGTCAGGACAGGAACTCAAAACAGGGCAGGAACATGGAGGCAGGAGCTGATGCAGAGGCTGTTGAAGGGATGTTGCTCACTGGTTTGCCCCTCATGGCTTGCTCAGTCTACTTCTTTATAGAACCCAGGACCACCAGCCCAGGGATGGCAGCACCCATGATGGGATCAGCCCTCACCCATTAATCATTAAGAAAATGCATATAGCTATATAGGGGCATTATCTTACTTGAGGCTTCCTCTTCTCTAGTGACTCTATCCTGTGTCTAGTTGACACAAAACCAGCAAGCATACCTCTGCTTGACTTGCACTGAGTCCAGAGAAATGTCCCAGGAAAAACTGTGTCTGGGAATACAGACAGACACAGCATCAACACCAAGATGCAACCTCTTTCTGTAGCCTTTGACATCTCTGTTCAGGGGGAAAAGCCACTGTCCTTCTAAACCTTTTCTGTCTGGACAAACCTCACACTCCTGAGGAGTCTGGGCACTTTCCTCCTTAGATAGGAACTCTTGAAGGGTTAAACTCTCCCACTCCCACAACGAGCTTAGGTCTCCATTCTCTGAGAAAGGCAATTTATCCACGATACCCTTGCACTCAGGGATGAGAGAGAACAAACAGAGGCCTAAGTCAGGTCAGCATCACCATGCTTCAAGGACAAATCCAGCAGCCCCCATCTGAGTCACATCCAAACTTGCCCAATCTTGTGCATATGTCCAAAATGGTAAGACAGTTTCAGCCAATTGAAGGTATACTAATGCGATGGCTATTTGCTTACCCAATTATATGTGAAATGACCTAACTGCTCCTGAAACGCCCCTTTGCTGTACTTAGAAGGAACTTGCATGCTCCTCTGGGGTCATCACCATATTGTACAAGAGAATGACCCCACGTATGCAGGTATTACTAAATGCTCTTTGCTTTTACAGACTGAGGCTGGGGTCTTCCCTCAGCACTTCTTTGGATGCTTACACTCTGGATGTTTCCCCCATATTGCAGTTAAAAGACAGATGACCTCACCTTTCCGAACTAGGGAATGGACTTCTCTGTCCACATGTTCTACTTGTCACAAGCTGAGCGGTGGTGGTTGTTGAGATGGGGTCTCACAATGTTACTCAAGCCGGTCCTGAACTCAAGGGATCCTCCTGCCTCAGGCTCACAAGTTCTGGAATTACAGGCATGTGTCACCAGACCATGCTCCTTAAATTTTTTAGCTGAGTATGTTGTGTGGGAGTGTACTAGTAGTGCTGGCTGGTTTGATGTCAATTTGACACGAGTTAGAGTCATCAGAGAGGAGGGAATCTCCATTGAGAAAACACCTCGAAAAGATCCAGCTGTAGGTTGTGTAACTTGAATGCACAAACATTAAAAAGATATGGCTGTAGGGCATTTTCTTAATTAGTGATTGGTGGGTGAGGGCCAATCCCAACGTGGTGGTGCCATTCCTGAACTGATGATCCTGGGTTCTATAAGGAAGCAGGCTGAACAAGCCATGATGAACAAGCCAGTAAGCAGCACCCCCTCAATGACCTCTGCATCAGCTCCTGCCTCCAGGTTCCCGCCCTGTTTGAGTTCCTTCAGTGCTGGACTATGATGTGAAGGTGTAAGCCAAATAAACCCTTTCCTCCCCAGCATGCCTTGGTCATGATTCATCATAGCAACAGTAACCCTAGCAACGACGTGTGTGTGCTCATGCTGGCGAGTGTGTGCAGGTCTAGGAGACTCTGTTGATGGTGGGGATGTCCTACTTTGCTTCTCTGTTGCTGTCATCACCACTTTGACCAGTAGTGGGGAAAGGATACACTAGGCTTACGGTTACAGTCCACCACCAACGGAGGCCAAGGCAGGAACCTGGAGCAGTCGCTGAAGCAGAGACCACAGAGGAACACTGTTCATTGGCTCAGGTTGTGTGGAGTTGACGGAGACTAACCAGCATGGGTGTCTTCCGCTGTCACTCTGCACTGTCTAGTGAGTCGGTTCTCTCTCAAGCTGCAGCTGGCCTGCTCCTGCTCCTCTCCTTGCTCCCTGGGCACTGGGGTTACAGGTGGCTACCACACATGCCCAGCTCTTATGTGGGCTCTGGGAATCCAAACTCCAGTCTTCCTGCTTCTCAGACAAGTGCTATCCACTGAGCCACCTTCTCCCGCAGTGTGCTGGTTTAAAGAACCTCCTATGTATCAAACCTGGAAGGCTTGCTTTATCCGCTCATCTTTCTCTGGCCTTTTGTTTTCATTTCCTGCACTGCATGAAAATCTAGAGCCTCACCTGGGCCCTCACTCTGCAGCAGCAATCTGACCATGGACCTGGCCCCCAGTACTTCAGTCTCCTGGAGTCAAGTCCACGACCACATTACCCTCAAGGCCAGTTTGAGCTTGCTCAAGCCACCCTGCCACCTCTGTCTTCCCAGACTCATTTATTCAGCCCCCAATTCCTTGTGCCCAAGCTCTGAGACAGAGCTCTCCCCTCTCCTTCACCTGTTTGAACCTGCTCACAGGAACCGGATGTTCTGTTGGGAACTGCTCTGCTCTAAGCTCACGTTTTCCTCTCTTCTTTCTTCTCTAGACAGGGGCTCACTACAGAGTGGTCAAGTGCGTCTGGAACTTTTCGGCAAATGACAGATGTGAAAACACTGCCTCATGCTCAGACTGTTCCAGTGTCGGTGTTTGGATGAAGAGGATTCTTTTCTCTTTGCCATGGAAGATGAATTCAGGTGATGTGGGCCAGGCATCCTCGTTGGAAATAAGGATGTGGTAACTTGCCCTAGTCGGGGAGATGAGGACAGGATGGCAGCCATGCCGGTTCTTGGCATCTGCTTGCCTTGAGATGTGCTGTGGGGCTGAAAAGTGATGGAGAACTTGCTCCTATCACCTCAATACAGTCTCATAATCAGCATAAGCTGGCAGACCCAAACCCGGGCGCTGCCAGAGGAAAGGACTGCCACGCTTCACAAAACTCTAAGCAACTCTGTGGAGCCTTGTTTCCTGACAGTTACTTCAGTCCACCTGCCAGATCATACCCAAGGTTGTGGGTGGGTATGACACCTAGCTTGTTATTAATGAGGAAAAAGAAAGAGGTTGCTTATTCAGTGTGTCTAACACCATTTCACACTGGATTTACCCAACACATTCCTGCAAACTGCTCAGAAGTAAGTCTCAGGTTCATGTTCTATTCAAACAAAACCTTCATCATTTATTACCAATGAATTTATTACCTCATAAATAACTGTTTATATGGCTTATATAATATAATCATTTGTTTTAATTTATACTAGTGTTTGACTTTCTCTTGGGTGGCACACACCTTTAATCCCAGCACTCGGGGGCGCTGAGGCAGGCGGATCTCTGTGAGTTTGAGACCAGCCTACAAGAGCTAGTTCCAGGACAGACTCCAAAGCTACAGAGAAACCCTGTCTCAAAAATAATAATTTTTAAGTGTGTGTGTGTGTATGTGGTGATGGCAATGGCACATACCTTTAATCCTAACACTCACACTCAGAATGCAGAAGCAGAGGATCTCTTAAGGTTGAGGCCAGCCTGATATATCTGGCCTAGCAAAATCCAGGGTATCTAGGGTTATAAAGAAAGATCCTCTTTCCAAAAAAAAAAAAAAAAAAAAGAAAGAAAAAGTGCGTGATGCTATTGAGTAACTCTCTTTAAAAATTACAGTCATGATGTCACAGCACAGGTGTGGGTTCACAAGTCCGTGTAATGAAGACTCAGAGAGAGACACCCCTAGAATGAACTTAAGCCTTTGGCGGCCGCAGGGCCTCCACCCTCAGTGGACTGAAGCACTTTCCCTTCACCCAGGGCATTTTTACTTTTCCCATATTTACACGTTAGCCAGTTGGTTTTCTTTTTTTTTTTTGATTGTTTCTTTTCCTTTTATTATTTTTACAATTAAGAGTATAGCATTTATACTCCACACACTCACACACACACAATAAAACAAGTGCTTGTTATGAAACAGTCCCTGTCCCATCCCCCCTCAATGTACTGAACATAGCAGTTTTAATAGAACAAAAAAAAAAAAAAATAAAGACAAGTCTGGTTACAAACTTTCAATAAAAAAGCAAAAGTAACGCAACAGCTGTTCAACTTCCAACTCTAATAGGGCCCCAAACAAGACAGCCCTGTGTAAGTTTCACCAGCACACAATCCGGTAGAAATGCTCAACTATAATCAACTAGTAATTGAGGTGAACAGAACCTTAGAACAGAAGTTATATTGCTTCCCTTCCCCCTTTTCTCTTACAGTTGGAGACACAGGTATTAGGAGATACAAAAGTCAAAGGAAGAAGAATTATAAAGAAAAATTCCCAAAGCTGCTGCTGTTTGGAATAGAAAGGAAGACAGAATTTTACAGATGTTCAAAAATTGTAAGGCATTAACACAATTCATACACTATCACTCCTACTTGAAAGAATAGAGATCAGCGTCTTATTATGTAAAACTGTACGTTCAGAATGGTATTACAGGTTCACCAGAAACTATGGATGTAGTTTTAGGCTTTATCAAGGAAAATAGGTTCATATCTAGCCTGGATCAGCATCTAGAACTGTCACCCCAATGGCTGTGAACTAAATAATAGCACGTTAACTCCATAGGAAGCTTAAGGATTGAAGATGTATACACGGCTAATTAGATCTCCCCGGCTTCCCGCTCTTCAGAGCTCCTCCTGTCTTCTGACCTGCCATTAGCACTCTCAAAGGACCGCTTATCTTTTCGATCTCGGTCACGAGGTGATCTGTCTCTGTCACGTGATGCTAAGTCTTGGTCTCTGAATCTTTCTTTTGAGGATCTGTGGGAACTGCTGCCAAGACAAGATTCATATAGATAACTCACTTATAGCGGAGACCAGAACTCCTCTTGGATCGCTCTCTGCTCCTATCTCTAGAACTGTGCCGACTTCTCTGGTGGCTGCGGCTGCGGCTACTGGAACGGGACCTGTGGCGATGTCGTTTCTCTCGAGACTTGGATTGAGTCCTCCTCTTGCGTCTCGTGACATGGAGCGAGATCGGTGTCTACGATGCTCTCTAGATCTAGATCTCCTCAGTTTTTCCCATTCTTCTCTCTCTCCCTCTTCTCTTCGTTTCAGACGTTCCTGGTTTCTATTCTCCTGCTTCTCAGCTACAACTCTCTTTAATTCTTCGAGTTTCTCTCTTATTTCAATAAATCCCAGGTGCAGTTTACCCCCAAAATGATCAGCAAGTCGCCTGTCATTATCATGAAGACCTAAATATGCGGAACAAACTTCACAGACTCGAAGTTTCTGCTGCTGGAAACTGGAAGCTGGCTTAGAATTCCGATAAACTTCCTCTGCTTCTCTTTTCTTTGCTCGTGCTTTCTCCACTTCATCCATGACTTTCTGAGATTCTTCCACATTTCCTTCAGCTCCTAGTTGTTCCACTTTGGCCAACAATTTACCTATTTCTTCATTTAACTCATGAACACGTTCAGCCTTTGCTGCCACTTCAGCACTTATCTCTTCTTGTGTTTCTGCTAATCTTTTCTTAGACACTTCAGTTCTTCGATCCCAATCTGCATTGAAGGACTGCAGATGATCCATGGCATCAAGTTCAAAGAAAAAGTCCTGTTCTTTGGATGCAATTTCATAATCTGCTCTTAGAGCCAGGTCATGGACTTTCAGGCATTCTCCAAGATCCATTCTTCACTGCTTATGAAAGAGTAATCTGGAAATCCTTTCTTTATTCTAGATATTTAGTTCCAGAAAGGATATCATGGGGACAACAGTTGAGAAAGTGGCTCTTGCATACTCTGTCATCGCTGAATTTGATTCGTTGTCGAGTAGTATCTCGCGGTACCCTGCTTCCATTTATGCAGTATGCCAGGCATCGGCACGATTTTCAGTGGCACACAGGCGGTTGCCACTACCAGGGCCCGTCCCGGGAGGTGCCCATTAGCTGGTCCGGGCGGGGGAACGAGAGAAAGGGGTGGGGGAGGTGCGGCGCTGTCTCGGTGGCCACCGCAGCCTCGAGGCCTGCGAGTGCGGAGACGGAGGGGTTGCGGGAGTGTCCGGGCTGCACTCCTCACGGCGTGGACGCGGAAGGTGGCAGCACCCTCCAGAGCAAGCCCTCGCGTCCTCACGACACGGGCTTAGGCCGACTCTCGCCGCCTCCCAACACCGACACCCACCAGAAGCCCTCAACCCCCCCTAGCGAGCTCTGACGCCGCTAGCCACCCCCGCCACTGCAACGGGAGCAGCGCCAGTTGATTTTCTTATGCTCAAAACAACCCGACTGAAGCTTCCAAATATACAGCCAAATGCAAACTCTCGATAAATCATATCATGGTTTTCTGGGTTCCTCCAAATCAAGTTTTGCATAAGGTTTGTATCCTTGGGAAACTCTCAGACAATATCTACATAGGGCAACAGAAGGTATCTGTAACACAAAGGATGGATTGGGGCTAGGTGTTAGTTGCTCTCTGGCACCAGGCCAACAGGAAATTCCGCAACAAATATATTTCCAATGATTAGTCAATGTGTATAGATTTAGAATAGAAAACATATCAAATACTAGAAAAATACTCTAAATTGAGTTCAACTCAGATATGAGCAATTTTATTTAAAATTCTCGTTTGAATCTTCAGCGTTCAATACATATTGTCAACAAAAAAGTCATTGTTCTAATCCTACCTCAGTGATTTCTAGATGGCCTCAGACAGTGTAAACAGTACTGAACTCCAGTTCATAACATTATCTGTCCTCGTGTAACAAAGTGTCCGCCCCTAACAGAGCTGCCACAGTAGAGCACAATTCCCTGATGCACGAACAGTGCGAACACCACTGTGTAAGCCGGAAAACACACGCAGCGAGCACTCCCACGCTTGTCCCAGTGAACAACCAACTTGTCCCAGGACCAACTCTGGTTGATGAACTTTGAGGTCAGAGAGGCACAAGTGCCGCGTGCCAAGGTGGAGACGGTGGCAACAGCAGCTGCAGCAGCATGGCAGGTCTGGCATCGGCATGGTTTCAGGTATCCCCTCTCCTTCTGCGACAAGGCCCTCTGAAGGTCCTGGAGCAGGAGTCCATGTCATCAAAATGATACAATGTCCTGGAAGATCTCCCACTAGGCCTGCTGTGACCAGAGGAACCGGTCACATTTCTCAAGCATGCCTTGTATCAATGCTCTGAAATCCCACAAAAAGAAAACAGCATATTCAGTTGTCCAAGTTCATTCTTAATAGCAAAGCAAAAACTCTAAAGACTTAAGAGGATTCAAGCACTGTGGTCAAAAGACACAGGCAAAAACCAGCAGAGTGGACGAGGACGTCATCACTCAGGGAACTGGAACGTGGCCAAGCATGGACGAGGCCTCGGGGTCAGTGACCAGTGTTGGGGAAAAGAAAGGGATCAACAGAATGAACAAGCGATCTGGAATAGGAGAAAATATATGCAGATCCCACCTGGTAAGAGGCACCTAGACATTTGGAATACAGTAGAATTCCACAGTCAAACTAGCAACCTGATTCTAAAGTGGGCAATGAACTTAATTATCTAAGGATAAAAGTAAGCATAAATATTCACTTACCACCAGTTGTTAGGGAAATGTAAACCAGTTGAGCAACTCTAATGTAAAATTCCAAAATATTCTCAAATCTAAAAATTTCTGAAACCCGAAATGCTTGTGTTCCAAGCTATATTAGCTATGGGACATTAAACCTATACTGTGACTCAACACAGAGTCAAATGATAGTAGCCAGGGCTATGGGAATGAAGGCGTATTTAATAGCTATGACACAGCAATTCAGAGGAAAATATGCTGGAAACTGTCTGCCCAGCAACATGCAACACTAAGTGACTAAATGCTCTAGAAGGCATTTTCACATGGGTTTGCTTTTTCCTTTTCTTCTTCATACAGTCTAGGCTGGCCTTGAACTGCTAATCCTTCTGTCTCCACCTCCCCAGAGCTGAGATTACAAGTGTGTGCCTTCTCACTTGCCTTGGTTTTTGTTGTTTCTACAACATCTATTTTACAACAAACAGAAAAAGAAAAACTAAACTAAAATAACTGTGCGTGTGTGCTTGTATATGTGTGTGTGTGCGCGCGTGCATGTGTGTGTTCTGCCCTGTGTTTTAAGCTGGATATTGAGCGCAGGGCTTAATACATAATAACTAAATCCCTACTACTGAGCTACATGCTCAGCCCCTTTTCACCTTTGAGACGGATTTTACTAAATCCCCTGTGTGTCTTTGAACTTGTGGTTTTCCAGCACTGACCTCCTAAGCGGCAAGCTCACAGATCCAAGCTACCAGGCCTGGCCAGTAACAATATCATTCTTACAGAACTGAGGTGCATGATAGTAGGGCACTCACATTAACCTGAAGAGCACCCTGATCATGGTGAGGAGGAAAATTTTACTTTGGCCTCCTCTTTTACACCATAATCAGCAGATGTGTCTCAGTCTCCTCATGAGCTAGTGAGGGCTTGAGATTACATGATCTCTGCACTCCCGTCTACCTACTGCTGAAAGTTTCAAGTAACACGCTCAGACACCACAGACAGTGTATGGCAGGCTGGCATTACCTCTGCCTTCTCTCAGCGATCCTCAGGATGTCACAGGTTCTGGTAAACTTTGCTGACAACTCAAGGGCCAGACCACATTCCTGTAGCAGTGACCAGGCCTGATCTGGGCCCAAAGCCTTAGCTAACAGGAGTGCCACATTCCCCACATTGATGGGAGCAGGCCCATCACTCAGGCTCCCATTTAGTGGCTCCTGAGGAGTTGGCCTTGCGCTCCTGTTCTGTAGTAGATGTAAGAGAAGCTTCCATTCCTCCAAGGTCTCGGGGATCCACCCTGCACACAGAAACACAGAGCACACAAGCTCCATACATGAAGTGTGAGAACTGTAAGAACACAGCAAAATAAACACATTCAAGAACAGCGTCTCTTCACTTCAGCACAAACCTTCTGAATTCACAGAATTAAAATCGTCCTCAAACTTTTTGGATATGCAACAAGGAAGAAAACAGACACATATGTGAGAACACATGTGCAGGTGTCCATAGAAGCAGAAAAGGTGTTAAAGTCCCTGGAACTAGGATCATAGGCGAGTGTGATGCACCCAGCATGGGGGGATGGGAAGCAAACTCTGATCCCCTGCAAGAACACCATGTGCTCTTCCCTGCTTTGCCATCTTCCAGTCCTAATCTTCTTTCAGACTCATTCTGGCTGCTGAAACAGAAAGAGCTTCAAAGTGGGCAAGAATGAAAGTCAGAGGACCAGTTGTGAGACTCCATCCCAGGAGTTATCTCCTTCACAACAGCATATGAAAACGTGAGTAGCGTGCTCACAACAGAAAGCAGTGGTTAAAGAGAAAAGATGCTGTAATATACCAAAGACCAGGCAAAGTCCCCACAATTTTAACAGCTATCTCGAACTGTGTAGACAACAACTAAAATGTTCAAATATGCTTGCTGAACACTGAGGAGAGACTTCCAGAACACCACAATGAGGAGTTAGCAGTTGGGATTTCTATACCTTTGTCCCCTTCCATCAGACTTATGTCGTTCAGATACACAATGGTGGTGAAGGCCTCCCTCCTCCTCTCCAGCTCCAGACACAGTGTAAGATATCCAGGCCAGAAACTTAAAGGGAACAAAGTTGACAAAAGGAGTAAGTGCATGAATGTCTATGAATGCCACTGTCCATATTAGCCCCATGTGGTCCTTAAAGCTTAAGGTAAAAGTAAATAAAAATTAAAACTCAGAGTTAATTTGTTGTTATGATAATTGGTTTTTGTTTGTTTCTAGAGACAGGGTTTCTCTATGTAGTTCAGGTTGTCTTGGAACTCGCTCTGTAGGCCAGGCTGGCCTCAAACTCAGAGATCTGCCTGCCTCTGTCTCCCGAGTGCTGGGATTAAAGGCATGCATCACCACCCTCTGGCTCTGAAGTCTTTTTTTCAGATTTATCTATTTTTAAAAACTTTTAAAATTTTTTATGTGTATGGGTATTTTGTTTAAATGTATGTCTGAGTATCACATGTACCTGTTGCCCAAGGAGTCCAAAAGTAGGTACTGGATCCCCTGGAACTGATGTTAGAGACAGTTGTGAACTGCCACGTGAGTGCTGGGAATTGAACCTGGGCTCTTTAGGAAGTACTCTTAACCCCTGAGCCATCTTCCCAATTCCAAGATTTACGTATGTATGTATGTATTTACTGCTTTGTATTTGTTTGATTTTTTTTCAAGATAGGGTTTTTCTGTATAGCTCTGGGTGTCCTGGAACTCACTTTGTAGGCCAAGCTGGCCTCAAACTCACAAAGAGCTGACTGTAGGCCAAAGGCCTCACAAAGAGGCCTCTGTCTGCCTCCCAAGTGCTGGGATTAAAGGTGTGCACCACCACCACACAACCCAAGATTTATTTATATATTATGTGTATAAATATTTGTCTAGATATATGTTTGTGCATAATGTACGAGTCTGGTGTCCCCAAAGGTCAGAAGAAGGCATCAGATCCCCTAGGTCTAAAATTACATCAGTTACGAACCTCCACGTAGCTGGGAATTGAAACTAAATCTTTTGCATGAGCAGCAAGTGTTCTTAATCACCGAACCATCTCTCCAGTCTCTAAAAGTCAGCTTTGTAATTAAAGATTGGTGATCACATGTGGCTAGAGGGCAGTGCAGTGGAAGATTCCCATCATCACA